TTCAATGTTATATGCCCTGATTAAGCACAGTGAATATGTGATTGTATAGAATGAAAACATAATAAAATATATTAAAAAAAAAAAAGAAAGAAAGTTCAAGATCTTATCCCCACACCCACAAGTCCATCACATGGTCCAATTACCCACTGCCATGCTGGTAGTTCCACCCATCCAATTCTGGTCAGGTGCAGAGACAAAGGATGACCTTGGCTTTCTAGAACAAATTTTGTTATGGCTACATATCATCCAACTCCGTACAACCCCCCCATCCCACTTTCCCAAAATGCATAGTAGAGCAATAGAAAGTGTGGCAGGCCAAAGATCCAAGAGAAAAGATGGCTGCAGGCCTGACATAAAGTCCACAAGTCTTAAAGTTGCTATGTTTGGAATCCCCTGTTCTAGATAAGCAAAGTGGGACATCCTTCCACCTTGTTTCTTCCTTGACTTAACAGAATCGACCACCGCTAAGCTTGAGTGGACAATGGTCCCATGAGGAGTGACAACTCGAGGCAAGGCTGAGCCGTGTGGCAAAGCAAATGCAACGTATATAGGGTGGGAGTGGGCAGGACGAGTGGGAGGGAGTGGCGGGTGGGCAGCCAGAGGTCATATTTACCGGTTCGGCGAACCAGGTAAAATTTCCGCTACCGGTTCGTCTGAACTGATCCAAACCAGCTGAAACCACCTATGAATAGACAGAAAGCTCTCCTACCTTCCTTGTGTGATTACCTTGCGTGATGGAGCCTCGGATGTGATGTGGTTCCTTTAGGTTGAGCGGACTGTGCCTCTCGGGAGGGATGGCTCGGCCCATTAAACCTAAAATGATGCCCCACACACACACAAACCAAGAAAATAAAAGTTAAAACAATGACATTTCCAAGCATGTAAATCTTTCTTTCACCAAGATGGAAGTATCTCAGGTTCTGAATACCCTGAAAAGCAGACCAAAGAAAAAGATGAAAGGATCTGTTATTTTATTTTTCACACTGCCGCAAGATCGCCAAATTCCACCCTCCCAAATAACTTTGGATATTTTGCAACATCTTTTAAAAAATCTCCTTCTAGTTAAGAAGAGATGACAGAAGACAGGAGTGAGTTTGTTTCAACTAGGAAAAAAAATTTCCCAGCAAAATTTCTACCTTCTTCCGGTTTCTACCCAGTAGAGGCAATGATTTGAGAAATAATTAAATATTTTTATCAATACAGCTAGTCCTCAAAACTTTTCGCTTAGTGACCATTTGACCCTACAACACCACTGAAAACAATGACTTATTGCCAGTTTTCATATTTACGACTGTTGCAGCATCCCATCATCATAAGATCAAAATTTGGGCATTTGGCCTGTATTTATGACCATGAGGTTGCATGCCTCAGGGTCATGTAATGATGGGCAAACTTCCCAACTGGCTTCTGACAACCAAAGTGGATGGGGAAGTCACATCTGCTTAATGACTGTATGGTTCACTTAACAATTGTGGTGATTTGGTTAACAACTATGGCAAAAAAGTTTTTGTGCCTGTTGGTGGCTGGCCCCTCCAGCAGCCGAATCAGAGAAGGAGGAGGTGGCGTGGGAGACAGGGTCAGCATCAGGGCAACCTGAGAGCTCTGAAAGGGAGGAGGGAATGGAACTGTCGGGGAGAGAGAGAGACAGAGGTGGAGCCTGGGCCGTCTGTCAGTCCTCAGATGGAGAGTCAAAAGCCCCCAGGTCTGGGGGTGGGTGATGAGGAAGAGGAGAAACAGCTAGGTCCACTGCCTGAAATGCAGATGTGCAGAAGGCAGAGGAGAGGAGAGCAGTGGAGATCTATGGGCTGATCCTTGGGACGAAAGAGCCACTGCTGTTACAGAAGCCCCATCCTAGCTCTGGGGATAAAAGGCAGGGGGTGGGAGATGAATAGATGTGGCAGACAACTATTCATCTCCTGCAGGAGAGACTTATTAGCCTGTGTTGAGAGAGAAACTTTTTGCCGGGGCTGCTGGGATTCCTAAAAAAGAAATCATTGATTTAACTACAGAGGGTTTGTCGTGTTTTGGGACATAACAAAAGTAATAATATGGGGTGCAACTCACTTAACAAGAGCCTTGCTTAGCAGTGGAAGTTTTGGGCTTGGTGTATAGTGGATGTAAGTCAAGAACTACATGCATGATTGCTTCCAAGTTGCTTATCAAACCCCACCTTCTATATTAGCAGAGGAAAGTTCACGTCCAGATAGCAGCCTGGCCGTCCTCCCTTCCATCATGTCGTACGTTCTCTTAGTGCCGGTCATCTCCTGCATCACTGCAGTGCTCCTGCTGTTCTCTTTAGGGACCTGGTTAGCAACCCCACCTGGAAGAGGAGAAGACAAGGGAGATAAGGAGAGCTGTGGAACTCCTTGCATGGAAGGCGTCCTGCCCCACTAAACGAGCGACACCAAGGAATGGTAAAACAGAGTGGCGAACACAAGCTGTCCATGGACCACAACTCTTCACAGAAGGCATCTTGCCCCACTAAAGGACTGACACCAAGGACTGTTTCTAGCAAAACGGATGGCGAACACATCTGTCCATGGATCACAACTCTTCGCCGAAGGCGTCCTGCCCCACTAAACAAGCGACACCAAGGACTGTTTTCACTAAAACGGAGCAGCGAACACAAGCTGTCCATGGATCACAACTCTTGCATGGAAGGTGTCCATTAGTCCTGCGCACTAAACTAAACAGAGCAACGAACACAAGTTGTCCATGGACCACAACCCACACGTTGTGCCTTGAATCCTGAACCTGCTACAAACTCAGTTCCTCAGACACTTCGATTGGCGACTCTTGTGAAAGCTAGACACAAAGAACTTTGCAAGAAAAAATTGTCTCTATCAACAGTCTTTTTTTTTTTTTTGCAAGCCTCGTCCGTCGATGGAGATTCTCAGTCCTCCAGGTCATGGTTGTCCCAAAAGTGCTTTTTTCAAGAGCCAACCTGGACTTCCTTTATTATTCCTTGAAGACGTTTCACTTCTCATCCAAGAAGCTTCAAGCAAGGGTAGATCTTCTCACAGCTGCAGTCAGCTATCGGGAGCAATAAACTGGCAGGCCAGAGGCAGAACAATGAAGGAGAAAGGCACCCTCCTCCAGTGCCCAAACGCCCCCTTCCTTCCTCACAATCCGTCAAACTCGAGACATTTATCTGAAATGGCATATGGTTTCCTGCCTAAGCAGGGGGTTGGACTAGAAGCCCTCCAAGGTCCCTTCCAACTCTGTTTTCTATTTTATTCCTATTCTTTCCTATTCTGTTTTGTTCTGTTCCGTGTTGTGCTATGCTGTTCTATTCTATTTCCTATTCTATTCTAGTTAGTCTATTCTACGCTATTCTATTCTTTCCTATTCTATGCTATACTATTCTATGCAGTTATATGCTATTCTATTCTATGCTATGTTATGCTATTTTTTCCTATCTATTCTATGCTATATTATTCTATGCTGTTCTATTTCCTATTCTATTCTATTCTATTTTATATTCTATTTTCCATTCTATTCTATGCTATGCTGTTCTATTCTTTCCTATGTTATGCTACACTATTATTCTATTCTATTGTATTCTATGCTATGCTATTCCTTATCCTATCCTATCCTATCTCTCTATTCTCTGTCCTATTCCTATCCTATACCTAGACCTGGACATCACCCTCTTGCCGGCTGCTAAAGGAAGATGCACCCTTATTCTGAACACAGACGCCTTCAAGGCAATGGTGGGATTCAAATAATTTAACCGCCGCTTCTCTGCCCTCGTGATTTCTTCCAACAGCCAGTTCAGCCAAACTGCTAAGAAAGTTAAACAAACGGTTCTCCCGAAGTGGTGCGAACCATCTGAATCCCACCACTGCTACAAGGCCAAGGCGAACAGTTTTTGGAAGGACCCTGCCACGCCTGAGTCTTTGAAAGAGAGATTCCACCAGCAGTTTAAAGAAAAGGTTCATTGATTTCCCGCAACGATCAGAAACTTCTTGGACGAGAAGCGAAACGTCTTCAAGGAACAAAAAGAGAAAGAAAGTGCAGTTGCCTCTTGAAAAAGCACCTTTGGGATGAACCTCGTTTAGTACAGAAAACAAAACGCGCTCCTTTGTGTATTTGTGTGTGTGTCTGTGTGCATGCGCTTGGCCCAGGACAGGACAGCTGGCTCATAATGAAGCCATGCTGCTCTTATGATTTGTCATCCTGGGGTTTTGTGACAATGCTTATTTTTATACAGATCTGCTTTCTAATCCGATTTACTGTGTCGGGTCTGCAGAGGGATCAGAGTTTATGACAACTGAAGAGCATATGCGCTCCATGTATAAAACAAATAGGGAATAAACTCCTCTGGGGCAGCCAGCTGCCTCTCCCGATAGCGTCGCTTGGTTCCAGCAACCAGACAAGGAAATTCCTGGGGACAGGAAAAAAAAACCCTGTATTCTAATAAAGGAGAATATTTGTAGCAAAGGGTTGACACGAAGGGTCCTTGGTGCTCTCTGAGCGTGGTGGTTTTCTTCCAGACGTTTCATGACCCAACTAGGTAACATCATCAGTGCTAGGAGGGAGTGGGGTTTGCAGGGAGGAGGAGGGTCCTTGGTGGTAGAAGAGAAAGGAGTTTGTGGAGTGGCGGAGAAGGAGAAGGAAGACTATGGGGTCCTTGCTGCTCTCTGAGCTTGGTGGTTTTCTTGCCAAAGTTTCATTACCCAACTAGGTAACATCATCAGTGCTAGCAGGGAGTGCGGTTTGTGGAGAAGAGGAGGACAACTGTGGAGTCAGTGATGCTTTCTGAGTTTGGCTGTTTTCTTTGAAGATGTTTCATGATACAACTACACAACATCATCAGTGCAAGAAGAAAGTGGGCTTTGGGGGGGAGGAGGAGGAGGAGGAGGAGGAGGAAGAGGAGGAGGAGTCTGACGACGACAGAAGGGTCCTTGGTGCTCTCTGAGCTTCCTTGCTTTCTTGCAGACGTTTCGCTACCCAACAAGGTAACATCATCAGTGCTAGTCTAGCCTAGTTGAGGTAACGAAATGTCTAACAATAGGTGCGTTCCTACTGGTTCGGCCCAGTTTGGCTGAACGGTAGTGGCATGCCGGCCTGGGTCACAGAACTGGCAGCGACCCAGGCTGGCCACGCCCCCAAACTGGGTCCCCGGTCGCCATCTTTTTTTTTAGTTCTACGCATGCGCAGAACAATTTCCGCTGAACTGCGCATGCGCTTGCCCGTAAAGCACCCAGCCGAGCGAACTGGAAAGAAAAACAAGCAGGCTCAGAGAGCACCAAGCACCCTATAGTACTCCTCCTCCTCCTCTCCTCCTTCGCCACTCTACAAACCCCATTCCCTTCTAGCACTGATGATGTTGCCTAGCTGGGTAACGAAACATCTGCAAGAAAACAAGCAAGCTCAGAGAGCACCAAGGAGCTTTCAAAGCTGCATCCTTCCTACCACCACCACCCCTTTTCTAATTCCCCGGCCCCCCACGTTTTGAGACACCATGTGTGTGTGTGTGTATTTGTGTGTGTCTATTATGCATGTGTGCGAGCGCATCAGAAAAGTGATGGCTGCATCCTGTCATCAAGGAACATCTGGTCCCGAGTGTTTCGGGGGGGGGGGGAAGAAGAGAGGCACCCCTCCTTTCAGCCGACTCCGGTTCAATTATGGTGAAGGAACACGCGCGAGGAAAAGAAAATGCTTCCCTCAACATTTCTTCCCGCTTCTCCGCAGACGAGTCATTATCCCGTTAAGAATCCCCAATCTTCTGCAATTCAGCTGAGAGACGCTGCAAAATTTCGCCTCATTAGAGACCTTTTATTGGAAAAGTATCATCACGGCATCCAGGCACCAGCAGGGGGGCCGTTTCCCGCCTCCTGACACCCCTCCATCTCCCCCCCCCTTCCTGTCCATCTGAACACACAGTCACAGCTGTCTTGATAATCCAGGACTTTCGTCTCCCCGTTTCCTTTCCCAGAACGACGGCTAAGCTTCCAAAGAGAAAATCACTATGACAGCCACAACTTCAAGGAACAGCCATAAGTCTTCTGGTTGAGCACTGTTGTAACTTGGAATGGTTGCTGAACAAGAAGGCAGTAAGTGAGGACTACCTGTATAGTCAAAAGCCCTTCCCTGTCTTTCATGGGGGGCTTGGCACATGCATGGGGGGGGGGGCGCTTGCACTGCATTTTGGGATTGCATGCACACACACGCACATGCGCTTTGGCCACTCGGCACCAAAAAGGTTAGCCCTCACTTCCCTACAATCACCAAGTACCGTAGTGTCCTATTAATCCAGCACTGTTCAACCTTGGCAACTTTTAAGACATGTGGACATCCACTTCCAGAAATCAGAATTTCTGGAGTCCCTGAAGCTGCCAAGGTTGAGAAACTGTGTCCGAAGTTTCCTCCGGTTTGTCTGGGTCATTCCCCCCCCCCCCCGATTTTCCCCGACATCTGGGCTGTCTCTGCCAAGGGCCTCCTGCACATCTCTTGGCTGAACCTTCTCGCTCCACACTTATTCTCTGGGACAAAAGCTAAGCNTTCGGGGAAAAACCGTCCTTGTGTCTAGTTGTTTTGGTGTGCAGTGCCATATAGCGTCGTTTTGAGGGTAGGAGTTGAAACAATTTATGTCCAGGATGTGAGGGGTCTGTAGCTATTTTCACAGCCCTCTTTTTGTACAGGTCCTCAATGGAAGGAAGGTTGGTAGCCATTGTTTTTTCTGCAGTTCTGATTCTCCTCTGAAGTCTCTGTCTGTCTTGATGGGTTGCAGAGCCAAACCAGACAGTTATGGAGGTGCAGATGACGGTCTCAATGATTCCTCTGTAGAACAGAATCAGCAGGATCATGACCATGCTAGGTCAAGATGCCACATTTCATGGACTGGTTTATTTTAATTCCCACTCTATCCATTTGATCGGCTGGAAGACCATCAAAGAAGAACTTCTTTTGGACAGAAGAGCCCAGAAACTTCCAGCTTCTGAGAGGTTCTCCCCACCAAGGAGAACTCCTATTTTGGAGCATCTTCTGGGTTCAAGCCCACCTAAGAAAGCTCAGCTTTAATTTGGCCTAGGATTTAAGCCAAAAGCCTTGGTTTGGAATGAATGGACTGGACAGACCCTCAAACCAGGCCTTCAAAGATGTCTTCAAACCACCGCTGTGCTTGGTTGTGAGGTCCCATCCATTGACAAAGCCCAATTCTCATCTCTTCTGCTCCCACAACAAGCTAAACCCAACCTGACCAGACTCAACAAGCAATCCCAAGCCCCACACACACCAACAGTCAAACTCTAGCTAGGATTCTAAGTTAGGGTTTGTGCAAACCATGGGTTGCAATCTAGAAGTGGAAGGCAGGCGGACCCAACTGCTTGAAGTTTAGGCATTAAAAGTGCAATCCATATTTATCTTACTGTTAAAGAGAAAATAAAAATGCAGATGGATACTGTGTTCCAGTATTTATTTTCTTTTTGAGGAAACCAAGGTAAGCTTAGAAAAAAGCTGAAGAGATTTTCAAAGGGGGGTGGGAAATAGCTTTATCTCTAGATAATTCAATTTAGATAAGCTGAGCTCTGTTAGATACTCTGCACAGAATAGCAATAGCAATAGCAATAGCAATAGCAGTAGACTTATATACCGCTTCATAGGCCTTTCAGGCCTCTCTAAGCGGTTTACAGAGAGTCANAGGAAGGAAGGAAGGAAGGAAGGAAGGAAGGAAGGAAGGAAGGAAGGAAGGAAGGAAGGGAAAGGAAATAGCAATGCCCTTTGACTGATATACCACTTCAGCCCTCTCTAAACGGTTTACAGAGTCAGCCTCTTGCCCTCAACAATCTGGCTCCTGATTTTAGTGACCTTGGAAAGACGGAAGGCTGAGTCAATCTTGAACCTGGTGAGATTCGATCTGCCAAATTGAGGGTCTGAGGGAAGTCCTGTCTTAGCACTTGGCCACCACAGGTGGCCCCAACACGATTGACGTTGAGCTGGCCACCCCCACCCCCCCGAAGTCAAATACAACCCTGATGCAGCCCTCAATGAAATTGAGTTTGACACCCCTGCCCTAGATCTAAGTGCAACCATACCATGTTGGAGAACCCACTGCACAGGTTGTTGCTAAACTCTCCATGCACCTCCAAGATCTGCTAACTTTTTGATTTAACCCAAGTCCTGTACAGGGATCCGTATTCTTAAAAACCGGTCCAATCTGCACTGGGACTTAGCTACACAATGCCCCACAAAGGGGATAGGTTTATGGACTTTTCGTTCTCCTACCTGCTTCCAAGGGAATTCCTCGGGGAATGGCAGCGGGGTCAAAGGTCAGAGGAATGTGGCCTCTGTATAGATCCATGCCACTTGTCCCACGGAGCAGATGCTCATAGGGAGTCATTGGGTGATGGTGTTCTGGGAGTGGGGTGTGAGGAGATTTGGAGCTGGTGATGTCCCTGGAGGTGGTAGTGACCTTTCGGTCTTGTGACACGGGTTTTCCAGCAGTGATGCTCCCTGTGGAAGAAGAGGACAGCATCAAAGGAAGAAGATATCTGTAGCTCAGGGTTGAATTGTGAGGTCCTTAGTGTTCTCAGAGCACTGATGAGGTTCCCTAGTTGGGTCATGAAACATCTGCAAGAAATGACCTGGATGACTGAGAAACTCTACAGATAAACCTCCAAGTGGCCTCAAGGACCCTCTAAAAGTTTGCAAATGACCAGCTGCCCACAAGGAATATAAATCCTTCCATTCCCCACCATCCAGTCAGAGCTGAAGAAGCTTCTTGGATGAGAAGAGAAACGTCTACAAAAGGAAAAAGAAGAAAGTCCAGTTGCCTCCTGAAAAAGCACCTTTAGGACAACTATGACCTGGAGGATGGAGAATCTCTACAGACATCTGCAAGGTTTGGTTTAAGGTTTAAGGTTTATTGGGATTTATATGCCGCCCTTTTCCCTGAGGGGACTCAGGGCGGCTTACAACCACAGGGGAGGGGGGG